GCCGCCGGCGAGGCGTGGAAACGTAGAAGGGCGTGTACACGTGTCTTTGGCGTGGCCAGGACCAGGCCAGGGCGTGGCGTGCGGGAGGGTCGTACATTGGTGCAATACATCGATACTCCATCAATGCGATAAGCAGCAGTAGCAAAGGCAGCAGGCATGCCTCCGTGCCGAAGGTTAGTTACAAGCCCGCGGCCCCCGCTAATACAATGCCATGGCGGCCTTGCGAGGGCGAGCCTCGGCGCCTCGGCCACTGCCCTTGTGTCCCTTTGAAGCGCGGGGCGGGATGGGATGCGCCTGCAGGGCCCGAAGGGTTGACGCGAAGGGCGAGGAGGCACCGCGTGAAGAACGCCGGCCGAAAGGACGCAAAGAAGGGCCGTCGGGGAAGCCCGCGTCGATGACGGCCTCGATGGCCTCGAGCACGCCGTCAAGGGCGGCGCCGACGGCCACTGTCTGGCCGCGTCCGCGCCTTTTCAGCCGCGGGGCCTCGACGCGTCATCGGCAGGCAGGAAAGAAGGCAGGCAGGCGCGGCACAGTGGGCCAGAAGACCGGTGGAGGCGGCCAAAATTCTTGACGCGTTTTGAGCGAGAGAGTCGTTAAGTGGGACTCCCCACCAATGGATTGCTCTCCGAACGAGGAATCCAGTGGTGGGGTCACACGCTCGGTTTCGAGTCCTGTTTGGCGGCTCTGGAGCTCAAAACGCGTCTAGAGTTTTGGCTGCCTCCACCGCCCACTGTGCGCGAGCGCGGAACGCCTAATGACCCGCTTCCTTTGGGACTGGGGAGGCCCCATGCGGACGATCAGTTGTGGTCTAGCCCGTAATGGTAATGGTGTGGCTGGGCCGGCCGCCGGACGGCGCTGTCGCGCGGGACTGCCTATCCGCCATTCCGCGGGCGCTCTCGACGCCGCGCTCGCCGCGCTTGGTCTTCCGTAGACTTCCGCAGCAGACTGATTCCGAGAGTCGTTTTCGTCGCTCTGTCTCCCTCGCACCCACACGGGGCACGGGGCGCCCCATGAGTGCGTGAGAGACAGAGCGATATAAACGACTCTCGGAATCAGTCGGCAGGGACGCCGGCTATGGCGGCTTGGCTGACTGTGCATCCCTTTGCCCCGTGCATGCTGCTGTCGCGTGACCTCGTGTTCGTTGACCGCAGTCGTTGTCCTTTGCGTGGTGCTCCCACCGTGCGGGGACGCGCTGACGACGGGCTTTACGGCGAGGTTCTCCCGGACGCGCGTGGCGTGGACTGTGCCGGAGCACAGTGGGCCAGAAGACCGGTGGAGGCAGTCAAAATCCCGGAGGCGTTTTACAGAGTCACTAAACAGGACTCAAACCGAACGTGTGACCCCCACCAATGGATTGCTCTCCGAAACGAGGAATCCATTGGTGGGGTCACAGGCTCGGTTCGAGTCCTGTTCGTCCAGCAACCCTGGAGCTCAAAATGCGTCTAGAGTTTTGGCCGCCACCACCGGTCTTCTGGCCCACTGTGCAGCGGCTCTGCCAGTGGCTGTGCCGGCCCCGCCGCCTCGTCGGCAGCGAGCAGCAATCGGACGGATAAAAAGCAAACTACGTCCTGTCAGAAAAATCAGCATGGCAGATACATTGTCATTTTAATGCTCGCCGGGGGAAGGCACGCAAAGCACCAGCCCCACCCTTGACTTCCGACCCGCGGGCCCTTTCTTGTTGCGGGCCCGGCCGGTGCCCGTGCCCCCCCCCCCCCCCCCCAGGTGGATCCGGATTCCGGAACCCTGACCCAGAGAGAGTAAGGGCGCGCACCCCAGCGGCCGCTGGCGGGTCGGGGCCTTGTCCAACATGCATGCATGCAGAAGCCGATTCGTCGGCGATCGACAATTGCCGCTGCGAGGCTGGGCGTGGGACACACTGCAGTGGAGTGCATTGTTTCAACCGAGTTGGCGAGAAAAGAAGGTGTTACCATAGTGAGTCGCGTAATTGCAAAGGTGTCGAGATCGAGATTTTTGAGTGTTTGACGAAGCTGGTTTTCCTTTTGTTGCATCATGACCTAGTTTCTTCACATTGTTAACCGCGAAGCATTGCTCCCCGAGGATTTACTCCTCTGTCCACTGTGAGAAAAAAGTACGGAAAAAAGTACGGAAATGTCTGGTCAATAATTTGCCTGGACCGTTCGTACTTGCCAACTACGGAACGTTCCGTACTTTTTTTCCGTACCCATTTACATAGGATCATATGGAGCAAGTACGGAACGTTCCGTACTTTTCTCCGTACCTCCGTCCTATATTTTTCTGTACCATTTCCGTACTAAAGTACGGAATTTTTTACAGTGTCGAAAGTGACACTCCGTTGTACGGCCGTTTTTCGTCTCTATTTCAACAACGTGTTTTCACGTTTTGTTTTGTTTGTTTAAGAGTGAGTCGGGGCGCAGGCGGGCGAGTTACATTCATGCCCCCAATAAAGGATGGGAAAGCGAAGGGCGGGTCGCGGGAGGGCGCGGCGGGGCGCGGGGCAACCGCGGGGGCCGCAGGGCGCAGGCAGGGCGCAGGCAGGGCCGGGGGCTGGCAGTGCAGGGCGGTGCAGGGCTGCAGGGTCAGGGGTAGGCCAGGGACCCACGCGTCAAGCGCCCCCGGCGCCCCCACCCTGCCTAGAGGCAGATGGCTCACGGCCCCACATGCCAGGTCAACACGTGAGGCTCTGGCTGGGGCCCCTGGCACCGCAGACAGTGAGGCAGGCAGGCAAGCCCGCAGTCAATTCGGTAGTCGTGCCCCTAGGTCGGGCTGTTCCAGCCTGTCATTTTTTTCGCGACACAAACGGGGGCCGCAGGCACCGTAGGCTCGCACGAGAAAAAATACTTGGTTGAGGTGATCAGCTTTGTTCGATAGGCTGAAATCGATAGCTGCAATCGAAAAGCCGATAAAACCATAACTGGCCTACAGCCAAAAGCTAGTTGTCATGGCCGGATACTAAGAGGGTAGAAAAAAAAGTTTGGTTGTCTTCTGATAAATGTTTGGTCGTGACTACCTGCTGTTGGTTGTGGATTTTCGATTTCAGCTATCGAATTTAGCCTATCGTACAAAGTTGATCATCGGCATTGCTCTGTTATCGCTACTTGGCAATGCTACAGGTTACTTGCCTGTAACTATGGATCAGTTGGTCTACCTGGTGGTCAGCCTGGCGTTTAAATTTCCACAGTCGACGCAACTGACAGACAATCTCTTTGTTCTCTTACGTTTTCGCTATCATGAATTCGTTTCTATATCACCGAAACATGCACCAAAGCCAACGCGTGCGGGAGAGGAGAGCTGGAGGAGAGTAGCGTCGGCACTGTTCCATCACCGATGGGTCTGCCACTGTTTTCATTGAATTCAACCATGCTATTTGCCTATTTACAGGCGTTTGTCTCGCGAATTGCGTACAGACAGGCCTTTTTAAGCTAAGGTCAGACACGGGGTAAAAATGGGGCAGCTGATTCTTAGTCAAGATTTTACATTTTTGAACGTATGACATACCAAATGTGATGTTTCTACTGAAAAAAAAAAAACGTTTGCTACGGCACAAGTTCTAAAATGTCGATTCTTGACTAAGAATCAGCTGTCCCATTTTTACCCCGTGTCTCATAATTACCCCAACGGACCCCAAAATCTAAGTGAGTGGGAGTGAGTGTAGGCTGGGCTCGTGGAATGAGTGCAAGAAGTGGCAGACTCCTTGCGAATCACCCTGGCAGACACACTGGCAGACACCCAGCGGACGCACGGACGCGACCCTCGCGTCCAAGCATCGGTTGTTCGGCGAGGCCTTCCCTTCCCCCAAGGTGGATCAGCCAGGCCCATCAGCCGCAGACCTGTGTTTCGCCCAGCGACACCGCAAGCCACGCTGCTGCCTGCTACCCCTTCCCCTTGTCATGCGGCCGATACAAACAAGCACATAAGTACCGCTTCGCTTGGCGGGCCACCCGCCCCTCCCCCCGAAACCAATCAGAGGAAACTGGGTGCCTGTGGCCGCCCCGCCCCCGCCCCCCTCGCGAGGTAAACAAACAGCCGACACCGTGTCGGGGGTGTTGCACTGCGACTACCCCCCCCCCCCTCCTCTCCGACTCCGACACGGGGATCGGCGAGGCTGCAAACTTACCGCCGGGCACCCGCAGCGAAAACGAGAAATGGGCGCTGGCCGGGCGTCGCCGGGCGGGTGCTGGGTGCCGCTGGCGGCGGCCGACACTGGCACCCTGCTCCGCGCTCCGCCCTGCTCCCCAGAGAGCCTCACCCGGCGGCCCCGTCTTGGCGACTGTCGGCGCCACAGTAACGAGTTAACTTATCAGCCCCCGCGAGGTGATTTTATCGATCAATCACATCTCTCCCCTTCTTCCCTGCCTTGCGCTGCCCTTCCTGCACATCATAAAGAGCCGCCCCCAGCCCGCGGCGCGTCGCCATGGCAACGCCGCAACGGCCATACTTTCATATTTCCGTGACCCGGCCGCTGGATGGCCCTGCCCTTCGGCCCTTGGCCGTGCCTGTTTCTTGACCGCTTGCCGGCCGAACTGAAGCCAAGTCCTCCTGGTGGAGGCGGCCAGACTGCGATTGGCGGTGCAGAGAACCGACTCGCTCCACTTCCGGGGCAAACATTCTGCCGCCGCGGAGTTTTGTTTACAAGAGGTGCCACCTTCACGAATCCTTGGGTCAGTCGGTATTCTCCTGAAGACGAGCCGAGTCTGAGGTCATCGGTGGCTTTTTCTTGGCCTGGCCATGACGTCGAATGAATGGATCACGTGAATCCAATTCATTCCGACTGACAATCCCACACCCCTTGGATGGTAAAATTTTCGTTATGTTGCCTGTTGTTGTGTTTGACCGGCGGCAGGACGAGGAGGGAGAGGCCGCAGTTCACAGTAGTATCCGAGACAAACCAAAAGAGGATGAGACAGCTGGGTGTACTTGGGATTGACTGTTTCATTGCGAAAATCTCTGTTGAAGCAGATGCATTTGTATTTTTCCATTTTGGCTGAGTATAACAGGATTTAAATTAATTCTTTTTGGAAATTTTCAAAAGTATTTTGTTTATTTACCTCCTTACACAAATCAATGCAGAAAAATATCAATCTTGCAGCGTCATTTATATTTACAAAGAAAATATTACATTTCCTGAAGAGACTAGAAATACTGACAGGTCTAGGACATGAGACAAGTCTCTATCTAGGAGGAGAAATTTGATCTTGGTTGAAACACAGTGAGTGGGCTAGAGTAAACGCGAAGAATGTGCCACCTAACTATTATAAAGATAGAATAATTGCCTAACTTTCACATAGGTATTTAATTTAAGAAACTTCACTTTATTAACAACATGAGGCTAGTATTCAATAAAATTAACTTTTGAATAGACTTCAATACTAAAACCAAAATAGAAACTTCATCTATAAGCTAGACATTCTTAGTTGCCAATATTTAATTTATTTAAGGACATTTCAGATTCCAATCAGAGCCTACTTCCTGCTTGTGTTGATGCAAACTCTTTCATTGCCATATACCATCCCTCAATCTTTGTATTCTCAACAGCATCCTTAAAAGCCTGACATCCCTCAATACTACTCAACACTCCATACACAGCTAGATCAGCAAGGTCAGGTTTCTTTCCTCCATTGAACGATGTCCCCTTCTTCTTTAGATTTCTCAGCCAGAAGTTAAGTTCGTCATACAATGAAATTCTCACATCATCTTTAAGCAAATGCCTGTAACATCACAAAGTCTTAGCAATAGTAACATGTCAAAACTATTTCACCCTTTTAACTGCATCTTACCGTTTCTTCAGTCTCTTGCCAATCAACCACATGGCGTAAGCACCAGCATATACAATTAGATTACGTTCCCAAGAAGGGAACAATCGGTCCCATTCACCAACCTGTAATTTATTGGTTTAAAAAACTACGATAAAGAATATAGTACTAAATTTTAAAAAAATGGATGCATATTTAATTATTTATTACCTCTGAAAACCATTCAAACGATTGCAGTGATTCATCTACTGTTCTATAAACGTTTGGAGACAATACATGCACCAGTTTTTTGTCTGCCCACTCTCTCCATTTCACTTCTTCCCTGGAGGGAGAAAGAAACAATAAAAAAGCAATGTCAATTGCAATAACAACACAAATTTAAAGAAGTCCAACCAAGTCTAATAAAAAAATACCAACATGATTTTCTCTTTCTTATCTTTTTGGACATCTTCACCAGTCATCAGGTAGTAACGGTTTTGAATCTCTGTCTTAATAGAGCCATCTTCATCTCTGTACGACATGGGAGGATAGGAACTCATTAAACTAAGTAAATCCTTCTTTGGATCGGCTAAGAAGGATTTGAGAACAGAGATAATGAGGGTGCTGTCATTCAATTGCTGAAAAAGAAACGTTCACAATTTGAAGCAACAAACTGCAAGCTACAAGTATAAATTAATGTTCATAAATAATATCCTTCTTACCAAGTATTTTCCATCTCCAACTCCAGCTAGTAAAATGGGTACTTTCTTGTACTCAGACCACTTCATTTCAGTACGAAGAACAGGATCTACCTCCACAACATCATAGGATAAACCATAATAGTCCAGGAAGGCTCGAACCTTGCAGCAGAATGGACAAGTTGGATATTGATAAAGCACCAGTTTCAAGCCGCTGTTGTCCGATGGGAACGAAATCTAGAAGAAACACAGAGCAAAATTAACACATAATGAACCTCCAGCCTGAACCAAAGCAGACCAGAAATAGAACCCTGATGAAATATTTTACATAACCTAGCCCGTGTCACCTTTACGTTACGTAAGGCACTTGAGGCTCGGTGAACTTACTTGGCGAGAAGGGGTGTGTGGAGGCAGAGCAGTGAGGATTGTCGGCTTGAATTCGGTGTCATTGACAACGGCCGAGTAATCTATTGATTTGCGACTGTAGTCCCAAAAGGTGTACGCAACACCGGCGGCCATCCCTCCCAGGGCGAAGTACAGGACGTTTGCCTGGGCGACGGCGGGTCTGCGAGACGTGCCATTCCCAGAAAACTGTCGTCGAGGACCCCAATTCAGAGACCGAATCAACGAGTTGGGCTGTTCATTCTTGCAAAACGTGAAAACTGTGCGAAAATGTCGCGTACACACACTGCGCGAGAACGCCGCCATGTTTCTCGTCAACTGACTGCGATGTATGAGAATGCAAAACAGGATACGGATCGGATATGGGAAATTGCACGATGCGTTGTGGAAAATCTACAGCGCCGTGGGCGCCGTGGGTGGGGTGGGGGCAAGGTGGGGGTGGGGGTTGTTTTTTTTTACGGCTGGAAGCTGGAGTGTCATGGCGGACGGGAACGGAGCTGAGCATTGAGACATTTCATTCAGTTTGTTTATTCATCGCAGCGTCGCAGAAAGCCGGAGAGACAGGTGAGTTGTTCCTCGTGTTGCGGACTGCTCGGGAAACTGCAGAGGGGCCATGGATGTCTGCTTGCTGTGAAATTTGCCCCGAAGATGCGAACGATTTGTTAGTTCCAGGTTATGTTTATTTTTATCGGTGTTTTTCGGAAAAGTCATTCATGCATGACATTTGAAGGTCTGCAAACTTCCTTACAGACTCCTTATTGATGTTTGAGATGTTCAGTGGTCGTATCGGCTTCCACTGCGCCCTTGTCTCACTATTCAGATGTTGTTGCTATGTAGCAAACTCAGCAAATTCTTATAAAAATCCCTACCACTTCAGTGCCTTTATAGAATCAGTGAGTCCAGTGTTGATTGTATTTTCTTTAGAGGATACCTTGTGAGGACATAAAGATTTACATTCTCTTATTCAAGACCTTTACTTTCACATACATTGCCATGTACAGTCTGGTGTTAACCTCGTTCTGTCATACTTCATTGAAGGTACGGGATAGTTTCAATTATAGCCACAGGCTTTTCATCATCATCAAGTTTCACCTTCCTTCGAAGTTTGTCTTTCGTTTTCAAATGTTTCTGATTTCGAGTCCAAGAACAGTAAACACGCAGTGATATAAAGTATGCCATCTCTACTACACTAAGGAAACTGAAGCCAAGGAAGAGACCCAATATTCCTCCTGTATTTGCTGGAAACAAGATAAATTTCTATTAGTTTAAATCAAAAACATTAACCCACAATACGGGATACGTAACAGATGCCTTCTTACATAGAAACTCAGTGAACCCAAAGAGTTCCCCTTTGTACCGACTTGGAAATAATGTTTCCGTGAAGTAAAAGTGTATGACTGCTGAATTCTTCCTGCAAAGATGAAAACATGAGAGTCAATCCTTGGGCCCATGTGGGATGACTTGACAGTGTGACGGCAGGCGCGGATCCAGTGGGGGGCAAAAGGACTGTGGACCCCCCGTTGGCCCCCAGATAGTTGCCTGAGAGGTAGGCAAGAAGCTACTTTTTGCCCCTGTAAGGAGGCAAAAAGTGCGACTCCTTCTTTGTCCCTACGGGCCGGCTCTGGATCCGCCACTGCCGTGACGGTAGACTTACAGTGGGTACAGTAGGTTGAATGTGTGACGTTCGACTTACAGTGGGTCAGCTAGGGTGATGGTAGACTTACAGTAGGTAATTCCTATTGTGGTGCGAGTGGACTTCCGCGTCTGGCCGGTAGCTGGGCGCGAAGACGCTCTTGGAGTGCGTGAACACGTAGGACAGCTCGCTGCAGCCGGGCAGGCACTGGCAGGATGGCACCTCGGTGATGTTGAGGTGCGTCAGGTTGGCTGCCGGGTTCGCCATGCGCAGTTCCATCGCCTCTGCAGGTCAGAACGGCGCGAACCATGGAGTAGTACGGCAGAGAGGGAAACGGACAGTGTGGCAGACACACAGAGTGTGCAAACCTCGAGCGATGTTGGCGCAGGCCTCGTCCCTCTTGCCGCAGATCCGCGTGAACCTGTCCTCTGAAAGCAGACCAGAAAGGCCATTTGGGTTCAAAGCGCAGGGCGCAGGGAAGTCCACAGTCTCCGCACACGTTGCGTAGTCTTATTTTGGATCATTTACCCCCCAAGGAGAAAAAAAAGAGAAAAAAAGTGAACCTTTTGACTGTAAATAGAAGCCACCGGAAAACTTTTGTTCATTTGAATTATTTTGCTGGCAGCGCAATCTCCAGATCCAATTTAAATAAAAAAAAATTAAAAATTCTTTTTTTTTTAAATTAACCCGAATGGCTGTGATGACTGTGTCAGGAAGGCCTGTGTGGCGCGCACTCACTGGGCATGTAGTACGCGACGCACTTGCAGTGGCTGAGCGTGAAGTTGGCCTCGCACTCCAGGATGCAGTTGCGCTGCGTGTAGGTGCGGTAGAAGTAGAGGCGCCGCTCGTGCTGGAACAGGCACTGGCGCTTGGCCACCGTGACGGCCAGCAGCGAGGAGGCGGTGTGGCTGATGACGGGCGTGATGGCCACGCGGTTCTCGGTGCCCGGCTCCACCAGCGCGCCGAACGCCGCGATCTTGGGCGTCTCCACGGGGTTGTGCAGGAGCATCTGGCAGGGCCGCAAACAAAACAAGTTTCAATTGGCCACTTTGGACAAAATTTGCTCCATTTTGATGGTTAAAATGAAACTACTTGACGTAATTTGGACCTGACATTGACTTTCTGTTGTCAGCATGACCTCAAAATGAGCGAAATTTGTCAAAATTTGGAACATTTTGATGTTTAATCTGACGCCATTGAGACCTGGTTTTGACTTCCTCTTTCTCCTTTGGGTGGGGGATTATACTCTCCAACTTTGAAACCGAAAGCAAACGCCATTCCAAGTTCTGCCGACGCACAGTGGGCCAGAAGACCGGCGCAGGCGGCCAAAACTCTAGACGCGTTTTGAGCTCCAGAGTCTCTAATGGGACTCGAACGAAGCGTGTGGCCTCACCAATGGATTCCTCGTTCGGAGAGCAATCCATTGGTGGGGTCACACGTTCGGTTCGAGTCCCATTTAGCGACTCTGGAGCTCAAAACGCGTCTAGAGTTTTGGCCGCCTCCACCGGTCTTCTGGCCCACTGTGCGACGGCTTCCCCACCTTGAACCCCGCGCTGGAGGTGGAGGAGCAGTAGTAGTCGTGCAGCTCGCTGTCCAGCGTGATGGTGAGCCCCAAGTGCGTGCCGATGCCCACCGGCCGCCAGGGCGTCTCCAGCACCGACCTGTCCTGCTCCGGGTAGCCCGTCTCCGGCGTCCAGTCGGCCGACGGGTACGGCCACGTGATGTTGAGGTCGCTCAGCTCTCGCCTGCAGCACGCGCACCACGCGCACAGTGCACTGTCAGCGGACGAGACGGTCATATGGTGGTCACCGGCAGATGACTTGGGGCTCGTTCTGAGCTTTCCCTGTACGTGGACTGGGCTCCAGGCGCGGATCTGGAGGGTGAACCTAGAATGGAGGCGCCGCCCTACAGTGGGCCAGAAGACCCACGCCGCCGGGCCAAAACTCTGTCGCGTTTTGAGCTACAGAATCGCTCAATATGACTCGAACCGAACGTGTGACCCCACCACTGGATTCCTCTTTCGAAGATCAATCCATTGGTGGGGTCACACGTTCTGTTCGAGTGCTATTTAGCGACACTGGAGCTCAAAACGCTTCCGGGATTTTGACCGCCTCCAACAGTCTTGTGGCCAACTGTGCGCCCATCTCCTGACTGAAAGGAACGCAAAAGTCGCCTGTAAGTAGGCAACTTAGCCGCGTCGACCGCAACCCCACCCTCCAGGCCCGTCTGAATCCGTTTCTGAATCCGCCCTTGCTGGGGTCTATCCCTTGACCCGCGTGGTTTGGCGGTTTGGCGTTGTGGTTTGGCGTTCTGGTGGTTTGGCGTTCTGGTGGCTTGGCGTTATGGTGGTTTGGCGTTCTGGTGGTTTGGCGTTCTGGTGGTTTGGCGTTATGGTGGTTTGGCGTTGTGGTTTGGCGTTCTGGTGGTTTGGCGTTCTGGTGGTTTGGCGTTATGGTGGTTTGGCGTTGTGGTTTGGCGTTCTGGTGGTTTGGCGTTCTGGTGGTTTGGCGTTCTGGTGGTTTGGCGTTCTGGTGGTTTGGCGTTCTGGTGGTTTGGCGTTCTGGTGGTTTGGCGTTCTGGTGGTTTGGCGTTATGGTGGTTTGGCGTTCTGGTGGTTTGGCGTTCTGGTGGTTTGGCGTTCTGGTGGTTTGGCGTTCTGGTGGTTTGGCTTTTGGGGTCTGGTGGTTTGGCGTTTGTGGTTTGGCGTTCTGGTGGTTTGGCGTTCTGGTGGTTTGGCGTTCTGGTGGTTTGGCGTTCTGGTGGTTTGGCGTTCTTTGGCGTTCTGGTGGTTTGGCGTTCTGGTGGTTTGGCGTTCTGGTGGTGTGGCGGTTTGGCTCACGGGTTGCGGAAGATGAGGTCGCGGCGCACGCGGTTGAAGGAGCAGCAGATGCCCTCGTCGGTGAGCACGGCGTTGAACAGGTTGTCGCACTCGACGGGCAGGCTGCGCCACTTGCAGGACAGCAGCAGCTCGTGGCAGGGCTGCGTCACCTGCAGCAGGCCGGCCAGTCGTCGCTCTGTCTCTCTCGCACCCATACGGGGTGCCCATTAGTGCGAGAGAGAGCGGGGACAACGGCTGTCGGAATCAGTCTGCATACAAGGGCGGATTTAAAGGAGGGCAACAGGCCTTTTCGCCTCCTCTGGCTTTAGAGAGCCGCCTGAAAGTTAGGCAAAAGTCAATGAGGTTCCCCTGTGAGAAGGCAAAAAACTACTAGTTGTCCCTGGAAGTAGGCAGCAAAAAGTGCTACTTTGCCCCTCCCCCAATCCAACTCTAGATCCGCCCTCGTATACAGATTGGCTCAGCTTTCTCGCGATCCAAGACGTTTGCTCGCGCTGTGCAGTGGGTCAGATGACCGGTGGAGGCGGCCAAAGTTCTATGCGCGTTTTGATTTCCAGAGTCGCTAAATGGGACTTGAACCGAACGTGTGACCCCACCAATGGATTGCTCTCTGAACGAGGAATCCATTAATGCGGTCGCACGGTAGGTTCGAGTCTCATTTAGCGACTCTGCAGCTCAAAACGCGTCTACGATTTGGGCTGCTTCCACCGGTCCTCTGACCCACTGCTCTGGCGTGCACTGACGTTGATCATGAAGCCCATGACGACGCTCCAGTTGCCCGAGTTGCGGTCCACCTCGTCCGCGCCGGTCGCCACGTTGGTGCTGTAGTCGGTGTCGTCGCAGATGTCGCTGAGCAGACGCCGCTGCAGCGCGTTGAACGAGTTGCGCGGCCTGCCGGTCATCGGTTGATTAAAAGAGCGTCAAAGGCAAGCGCGGATCCACGGGGGGGGGATGACAATTGCCCCCCTGACCCCTAGATAGCCGCCTGAAAGGTAGGCGAAAAGCACCACTTTGTCCCTGTTAGTAGGCAAAAAGTGCTACATTGCCCCCCCCCCCCTTGGGCCGACTCTGGATCCGCCACTGGTCAAAGGCGACATTAGAACGGATTCGGAAATCAGAGGATCATTTGCGGTCCAAGCTTTTTTCAAGTGTGGTCAAAGGCCGAGCTAGCGAGCGAGAAAGCAGAAGCTGCAGACTGATTCCGAGAGTCGTCTTCGTCGCGATGTCTCTCTCGCACCCATACGGGACGCCCCACGAGTGCGAGAGAGACAGAGGACGGCGTACGATCCGCTCTTGATGGCCTCGGCCTCGGCGCGCCGCGCGCGGTTCATGTTGCAGATGGTGATGGCGGGGAAGGGGATGTCGAAGATGGGCGTGGCCACCGGGGCCACCGAGTTGATGACGGGGCTGTGCTCCCAGCGCTCCCAGATGTTGTTGATGAAGTAGCTGGCCATGAAGACGGCCAGCACGAACGACACCACCCAGAAGCACCTGGGGGAGGGGGAAGGAAAAGGCGGTTGAGGCGCCGAAACAACCATGTGCAGCAGCAGTCGGCCAGAAGACCAGTGGAGGCGGCCAAAATTTCGGACGCGTTTTGAGCTCCAGAGTCGCTAAGTGCGACTCGAACCGAGCATGTGACCCCACCAATGGATTGCTCTCGGAACGAGGAATCCATTGATGGGGTCACACGCCCGGTTCGAGTCCTGTTTAGCGACTCTGGAGCTCAAAACGCGTCTAGAATTTTCGGCTGCCTTCGCCGGTGCCGGTCTTCTGGCCCACTGTGTAGCCTGCAGATTGGAGCCACTGCACTCGTCGTACCGCTCGACGGGCGAGATGCCGGTGTCCCCCACGTAGCGAAGGCCGTGCAGCGAGGAGCTCTGGCAGTACTGCTGGGCCGTCTCCATCCAGTGCAGCTCCGAGCACGCGCCCTGGGGCTGCGTGCCGCGACGACGCTGCGGCCCCTGCAGGCCCTGCAGCCCGACGTGGAGCACGGAGTGGCACGGAGTCGAATGGACAGAAAGGAGAATGAAATGACGTCAGCGATGGGAGGATCTACTGGAAATTATACGGTGAAAGAGCCTCCTCTGAAAGCTAGAGGTTTGCATTGGCTTTTATTCACTGTAAAAACCAAACGGAGACAACTCCACACTTCCTGCTGTGGAGTAAGTCTCCACATTCATTTTATGAATTTGCGATTCAGACCACAAAGTAAGACGAATTTTCATATATTTTTTTAAACAGTGAACCCATTGGGCATTCCCTTGGATTTCAAAGAAAAGTTTCACTGTGAAACCAAACGTGGACAACTCCACACCTCGGGGTGGAGTAGGTCCCCACATTTGGAAGTGCAGAGTATGCAGTCTCCACACTTCAACTGTGGAGTGGCTCGCAGAGCCCCTGTCTCTTTGCATGGTGCAAACGTGGACAACTCCACGTTTGACGTGTGGAGACTGCAAACTATGCACTTCCAAGCGTGGAGACGGAAAATTCCAGTCCTCCGCATTTCAAATGTGGAGTCCTCCACGTTTGGTGTCACAGTGTTTGGATTGGAAGCCGTACCTGCTCCGGGTCGTGGCTGGGCCAGGGGCTGGCGCTGCTCCACGCGAGGCTGGAGTGGCCGGGCCTGGACAGCGCCCTGGGCCGCGCCATGCCGTAGGGCACGGCGTACTGCTGCGCCTCGTTGCGGAACACCGCCACCAGGTCGCCGTCCATCACGCTGCCAAGCCGTCACCGGTCGGGTTAAGTGTGTCCGATTCGAACTGGCGCTATTTTAGCCCTGGCTGTTTTGGACCGTCTAACCGTCCCACTGGTCCAGCACACGGTAAAAACGGAACCTGGTTTTCCCAGGAAGCCAATGGTGAAGACATAGGTGATTTCCAGGGAGTAGTTCCTTGGAAAACCAGACCAGGTTCCGTTTTCACCGTGCAAGGACTATTATAAAGCTCCCAGCCACCCTCTCCCTTTTCTCCAGTGCTGTCCAGGGGCAGTCCTCCAGGAGGAGGAGGACTTCAGGTAGCGGATGTGTCTCATCTGAACTCCTGACTGTCTCCGGGTGACCCTGCGGGCTGATTCCGAGCGGGGCTCCCGTCCGCGTGTCTTCCTCGCACCTTGCGCCAGAAGCACCGGTGGAGGCGGCCAAAATTCCAGACGCATTCTGAGCTCCAGTGTCGCTAGGGAGGACTCTTACCGAACGTGTGACCCCCATCAATGGATTCCTCGTTCGGAGAGCAATTATTCATTGGTGGGGTCACACGTTTGGTTCGAGTCCCACTCAGCGACTCTGGAGCTCAAAACGCGTGTGGGGTTTCGGAGCTCAAAAGGCGTGTGGAGTTTTGACCGCCTCCACCGGTCTTCTGTCCCTCTGTGGGACGCCCCTTGAGTGTGCGAGAGACGCTCCACTGGGAGTCAGTCTGCCGGGCCGCGCGCGTAGCCTGTAGCATGTAGACGTACAGTCCATGCTTGGAGCCGAGGAGGCCCCCGAGGGCGGCCTTCTCGCCGGCGGCCTTGTTGGTGGCGTGCTGATCGAGCGCGCTCTCCGGCCGGTCGGCCCCCGGAATGTCCCTGGCCATCGTCCTAGGCCATGCCGTAGGCCATGCCGTAGGCCATGCCGTCCGGACTGTGGACCGCGCGACGTCGCCGTCGTGGTGCTGCGTCCGCAGGGCACGCCGTCGCCACCGCCCAGGGCGGCGCCCATCCGCGCAGGGCGGCGCGCAGCGTGCGGAGCGCCTGTGAACGCGAGGGCGGGCAACCCGCTCCACCTCCGTGCGCGGACTGGTGGGGGCTGCCTACCTGCACGGCGCTCGCCGCGCGCGCCGCGCGCCGCCAGCCAGCAGACTGATTCCGAGAGTCGTTTTCGTCGCTCTGTCTCTCTCGCACCCGTATGGGGCGTCCCACGAGTGCGAGAGAGACAGAGCGACGAAAACGACTCTCGGAATCAGTCTGCAGGCCAGCTCTGCTGGGTGTGCGCTCGCGTTCGGGGAGCCGGTGGCGTGGTCTCCAAGGCGCAGTTGCAGTGCTGAGTGGGCTTCGATTGCGGAATGGATGTCATCGTCATGAAGGAATCTGATTCGGGGCGTGGCCAGCTGGGCGCGGTGTGGTGGCAGTGGGGGCGGGACTTCTCGAGGGGCGAGTGGGGCGCTGTGCCGCCCCGCCCTGCCTCGCGTGTCGTGATTGTCTCGCCGCCCCGCCCCGCCCCGCCCCGCGGCCGTAATGGCAGGTGTCGCGTGCAGTCGTGGATTAGAAGTGTTTGCCGAGGCCTTATGTGTTGCCCATCCCGGCCGCTAATCGTCCAGGGCCCGGCGACACTGCCTGCTCGCGTGCAGATGCGATGGCGGGCTGCCCGTGCCGCCCACGTCGCCGCTCTGTCTCTCTCGCACTCATGGGCGTCCCGCGTGGGTGCGAGAGGGACAGGGCGACGCAGCCCTGCAGGCCCGCGGCGCCTTTTCGACTGCTCAAACTCATCAGCGCGGTCGTCGGGGCGCCACTCGCGCCACTCGGTGGCTCTGCGGCCGACGCAAGGGGAGGAGCAGCGGCGGTGCGGCAGGCGCGGATCCAGGTGGGGTTCGAGGGGTGCAGGGGCCCCTGCGCCTGCGCCGCCGAAAGGCCAAAACAGAACACCTTTAGCCGAGCCTTTTGCCCGCCCCTGAGTCTCCAGGTCCTCCAGGGAGGTCGTTGGTCATCGGAGGGCGCTGCAAGGCGACGCAGAGCGTTCCCCTTCTCCCTCTCGGGACACCGCTGGGCCTCCGGCCGGTGCTCTCTGTGTTTCCGGATTGGTTGTTGGTTGACTCGTGTTGCGTGGGGTGTCGCCCAAATTGGCTAGAGCTAATTTATTTAATACGTGCAACGCCTTCCCATGACCCCCTCCGATTTTGACCAAAATTTTTTTCTGAGATGCCCTTATGGTAAGAAAAAACATCCTAAAATATTAGGTCGCTAAAAAATTTATTGGCCGAGAAAACCAATGTTTTCTAAATTTGCCACTTTTTTTACTTAATTTGGGAGTTTCTTTACTACTCTGAGGTTTTTGGTGCTAAGTGGCTGAAAATCGGTATTCTTATTTAAAATTGCCCAAGAAACAAGAATATGGTCACAGATTTGACCTACGACCGATATCTTGAGAAATACTTACCCAAAACGACCAAATTTTACTGAAAATACCCAAATTTTGGGGAAACGGTCAAAAATATTTTTTATCCACGATCCGTTGACGCCATCTTGTAGAAAAAGAGCTAATAAAGCTAATGAGCACACGCCCAGGTTCGTAGCTCAAACCGTTTAGAAGCTGTAAGGCGTCAAAGTTGGAGGTTTTTTGAGGGGGCCTGAAAACCGGCACTTTTGACCTCTGCGCTCAATGTCCGGCACCCGAGCCGTACCAGCCATGATCCTTGCTTTCGAGGTGAGGTCTGCGTGCGCAAAGGGAGTCAAGAAGAGGGTGAAGCGGCACAGCGTTTCTGAACAGGGTCCTCTTTAGAGCGCCTGAACAGCCGAGGGTTGGTAAGCTCACCAAGCGGTGCTTGGAAAGCACTCGCTGCACCGTGGGCTCGCTCAAGGCCACGAAGTCTAAATCTGTCGTGTAAGTCTAAATCTGTCGCCCTCGACAAGCTTCGGATTCTGTTGGCTGCCCCTTCCTTCTCTCTCTTTCCCACATGGTCCAAAGCCGTTGTCCTGGACCCCTCAACCTGCCCCCAATACCGGATATATTGTGTGTTGTTTCAGATGAATTCCAAGCTTTTTGTCGGAAGCTGTCGCCCTTTGGTAAGCTTAGGAAGTTCTTCGGAATCTGTCGGCGTTTCCCCGGCGGTTTTCTCACTTTCCCAACCCTGAGGGGTCAAGGGCAAGGGGTTTCAAAAGTTGGGAAAGGGTGGAAAACAGCAAGGGGCAGCCGACGACTTGCGATTCTCCCCCGAACCTTCCGGAGGGCGACAGCTTGAGACCATAACCGAACAAAAGCTTGAAAATCATCTGCTTAGGTCAATATAACGAACAAAATCTTACATAGATATTAACAGTACTTTTTATTGCTGTGTAAAATGCTCTTTAACTAGAGACAAGTCAATAACAGTCTGAGAGTGCGGTCGACAGCTCCAGGGCAACGCAAGGTTCACACGCGAGAGAATCGCTAGTCGTCGGCTGCCCCTTGCTGTTTTCCACCCTTTCCCAACTTTTCAAACCCCTTGCCCTTGACCCCTCAGTAGGGTGTTTCGTCATATCGAATTTTGGGTCCGTCAGTGGTTTTTCTGAAAGGCCTTGGTCTGAAACGAACCTCTGCCAAGTTTGAGCCCGATCCGATAACGGGAAGTGGAGGCGCATCGAGCCTAAAGTTTTTGGGGTCCGCGGCGGATTCGCGCGCACTGTCACACAAAAACACGTCCCGTGCACGCCGGACGCGATGCAAACCCACGGGAACCATGCAGGTACGTTCACAAGGGTCCATGGTGAGGGTTTATCTACTCGGCAGATCGACCGCGACCACCCCGCCGAAGGGTAGGTGAAGCAAAGTCGAATTTTCAGTCGCGCTACCGTACCCCAAACGGCCTGAGGCAGCGGCTTCTAATTTCACGTGCGTCGACTAGACTGGACCAGGAACCATCTGATAAATAGCGGTCACGTTAGCGCACCGCGTTCCTCGCGAAAACGCGACGCGAATGTCGCGACGCGCCAGCGCGCGCCGGCCGACGTTTGAATTCCCCCCGGCAGTGACCGTGCCGTGCCGTCCCCGCTCGGCTGGCCGAACCAGCGCGTGCCTGGGAGCGGCCCGGGGCGGCACGGCACGGCAGGGTCACTGCCGGGCAAAATTTAAACGCTCGGCCGGCGCGCGCTGGCGCGCGCGACATTCGCGTCGCGTTTTCGCGAGGAACGCGGTGCGCTAACGTACCGCTATTTATCAGATCGGTTCCTAATCCAGTCTAGTCGACGCACGTGAAATTAGAAGCCACTGCCTCAGGCCGTTTGGACGTACGGTAGCGCGACTGAAAATTTGACTTTGCTTCACCTACCCTTCGGCGGGATAGTCGCGGTCGATCTCCGAGTAGATAAACCCTTACCATGGACCCTTGTGAACGTACCTGCATGGTTCCCGTGGGTTTGCATCGCGTCCGGCGTGCACGGGGCGTGTTTTTGTGTGACAGTGCGCGCAAATCCGCCGCGGACCCCAAAAACTTTAGGCTCGATCGCCTCCACTTCCCGTTTTCGGATCGGGCTCAAACTTGGCAGAGGGTTTGTTTCAGACCAAGGCCTTTCAGAAAAACCACTGACGGACCCAAAATTCGATATGACGAAACACCCTACCCCTCAGGGTTGGGAAAGTGAGAAAACCGCCGGGGAAACGCCGACAGATTCCGAAGAACTTCCTAAGCTTACCAAAGGGCGACAGCTTCCGACAAAAAGCTTGAAAATTTATCTGAAACAACACACAATATATCCGGTATTGGGGGCAGGTTGAGGGGGCCGGGACAAAGGCTTTGGACCCTGTGGGGAAAAAGAGAGAAAGGGAAAGGGGGAGCCAACAAATCCGAAGCTTTTCGGGGCGACAGATTTTGACTTACACCGAATAGCATTGTTCGTGGCCTTGAGCGAGCCCACGGTGCGGCGAGTGCTTTCCAAGCGCCGCTTGGAGCTTACCAACCCTCGGCTGTTCAGGCGCTCTAAAGAGGACCCTGTTCGAAACGGTGCCGCTTCACCCTCTTCTTGACTCCCATTGCGCCGCAGACCTCACCTCGAAAGCAAGGATCATGGCTGGTAAGGGGGTATGGGGCGATTTTTAACAGATTTTGGGAAACCTCTATACAAAAATTTAAAAACATTCTGCATATCGCTGTCAAATTGTGCCAGTTGAGCAGTCTGGCCCTTCATCTAGACTGCAGCTCCATTGGATCAATCTGGAATCCGTAATCTTTAAAATCTAAGACG